CACCCCACATAAACATGGGTATGTAAACTGGGCATGGTGGTGCATGCCTGTAATCTCAGCACTCATGAGGCTGAAATAGGAGGATCATCACAAGTCTGAGGCCAGCCTGGGGTACAAGTAAACGCCAGCCTACCTGCACAGTGAGAACCTGTCTCAAAAAATAAACAATCTATACATGAACATAAAGTAAAAAACATGGATGTGTTATTAGTTTTTTTACTGCAAAGAAAAACTTAGAATATCTTATTACATTAATGAAGACATCTGAAGAATCTGTAATATTTGAAAAACATAAGGGAAATTCTGAATGTTATAAACAAATTGTTCATGGAAACTCTGTCCATAAATTAAGTGGTCAAGAGTGAGTCTTCTTGTTTGTAGAACTGTTTCCTACTATAGTCTCACCCACAGCAATACTGTATGTAGTCTTGTTCAAAATGCAGTGAAATATTTAGTATAAACAGACAACAAAATCAACAACAAAGAAGAGAAAAACATAAGACATTTGCTAAGATTGTGTTAAAATACAGTACTTTGCTTAGTGAAACCTTGTTTCAAAAACCATTCTGTAGGGTTTGTTTTGTTGTTGTTGTTATGTTTTTTGAGATAAGATCTCGATATGTAGTCCAGACTGACTTTGAACTCACTATGTAGCCCAGACTGGCCTAAAACTTGTGGTGACCCTTCTCCTGGTTGAGCCTCCTGAATTCTGAGATTACAAGCATGTACCATCACACCTGGGGTTCAAAAAAAAATTAATATGGTTTTAAAAAGTTACAAAATGTATACAGTTCCTAAGAGCATGGTTTGTATAATCTAGGTTATAATAGAGCTTGTTTTTGAGAAAGCATTATGATATAATGGGATAGTAAGTATATTTATTAAAGATATTTCAATTCTGGTTCTTCTCTTGGTCAGTTTTATTAATAGAAAAATTAAAGTAAAAGGCTTTCTTTCCCAGGTTTGTGAAATTCAGGCAACAGTATAGTGTTTTGAACCATGAGCTTTAGAATGAGGTCTAAAGAAAACATTTTGTTTTAGGATTTACTTGCTCTGGGGCCCTTTGCATGGTTTAATATCTCTCTGCCTCATTTTCTTGATATTAAAATTCATCAACCATTGTGATACTTAGGTGAGAGAAGGCACTGCAAGTTGCTTCTATAGTCGTTAAGGTATCTTTCCTTCACAGAAGAGTAACTTGTGTAATTGTTCAGAGATTTGCACTCTCACTAGACTGTAAACTCTCTGAGGACAGACCACACATTTTCTTTAGAGCTGTATTGAGTCTTGTTGTAAAGTGTGCTATTATACTTTCGATCTAAAGGGTGGCCCCAAATTCTCGTGTTCAGATTTGGGGCCTGGTTGGAAGGGACTGTTCCCTGGCCATACGACTGGAAGTGTGTGTTTTTATTTCTACTTGCTCCCTTTTCTGTTTGCTTTCTGGCTGCCATGAGCACCTTTTTATCTGCCATGCCTTTCTGCCATTCTGTTTCTGCTTTGGAACCCGCCAACCTTGATTTAAAATTGTGAGCTAAAATACACATCTCCTTTAAGCTGCTCGTGTCAGGTATTGTGCCTCAACTGGGAGAAAAGGGACAAAGACATGCTCTTTGCAAAATGATAACAAATACTTTTTTTTTTTTTTGGTACTAGAGATTGAACTCATGACCTCATGTTTGCCAAGCAGGCAATTACGCTGCTAAGCTAAACCCCCTGGCCCCAACAAAAATCTTTATTAAGGGGGAGAATGAATTTGAGCTCATCTCCCTTTCATTTACACATTCACTCAGTAAATGTTTGGTGAATGAGGGAAATAATTTGAGAAAATAAAAATATAGTACAGTAGGCCCCCAAAATTCATGGGGCTTATGTTCCCAGAGAATCTGTGAATTTCAGATATGCTCAGAAAAATGCCTGTTTTTAAACTTCAAACCCTATATGTGCAATGCCTCCTGCAGTTATGTAATTTAATAAAATACTATAATAATAAAGCCTTAGAAGGTGAAGAGAGTTTGGTGGCATCTCAGAGATCTTAGTGCTTTTAGAAAAACAAAATGGAGAATACTCAACATACTTACACTCAGTTCCGAAACCTGGTAAGATTGTGGGAATGTATCAAATTACAGTGCTATATGTGCACCCATGTTTATAGCAGCACAATTTGTAACAGCCAGATCTTGGAAACAACCTAAGTGTCCATCAACTGAGGAATGGGTAAAAAAGTTGTGGTATTTTTATACAGTGGAGTACTACTCAGCTATAAAGAATAATCACATCGAGATATTTATAAATAAATGGACAGAGCTTGAGACCATACTCATAAGTGAAATAAATCAAACTCACATGTATAAATACTGAATAGTCTCCCTAGTATAAGAAATGGTAAGAATACATAAAAGTATGTGGTAATCATGATTCCCCATTATATGGCTTTGAAGCATTATAATGTTTTCATTCATTAGTTGAAATGGTTTATTCTGGGTTGTTTGATTTTATTGTCTGTGAGGGTATGAACAGCTATTTTGAAGAAAATAAGACATTATAATAGCTAGTGCTGATTTAATATCATCTTGTTTTGAAGTCCTACCTACCAAGCTTTTGTTCTTCTGTCTCCATCAGTTGTATCATGTTGTATCTTATTGCATTTTATTATATGTGATGGTATAAACAAAATTTTTTATGGACAAGGAGATTATATAGAAACCATTGTTCGTTTTCTGTTAGTTGGTTCTGAATACCCTGTAATACTTTCATTCTTTTGAATGGTTTTATACTGTTTGTTATGTTTGACACTATAGTGTATGAAGGTATACTCAAATATTTCAAGGAAAGAGACAATATGGTAGCTACTGTTATGTTGGGTTGTCTTGTGGTGAAACACTATGTTGCTTAAATTGTTCTGTTCTGACCTGTATTGTTATGTCCTCTTTTATCTTAATCATTTTTAAAAATAAAAAAAAAAAAGATTGCGGGAATGCTGAGACCTACCTAAGATAGGTTACAGAGCAGCAGCCAGGCAACACCAAGGAGAACTAAATAATGCTATCAGACTGGCTACTTGCAAACCTCCTGTCTCCCTCCCTGCAATGCACAAGATATTTGCGGGTTCCGTGAAATTTCAGGGTTTACAGGAATGATTATCAGGTAAAAGGAAAAACCCGAAATTGACTGAGGCCACAAACTCTGAACCCTGATTTCGCTAGGGTATAGGGTATATTGTAATAATTAGATGGCTGGCGAACTAAAACAAAAAAAGGAAACACTGGGGGCTGGAGATTTAGCTCAGCGGCATAAGTGCCTGCCTTGCAAGCAGGCAGTCGTGAGTTCAATCCCTGGTACTGATAAAAAGGAAAAAGACAAAAAAAAAAAAAAAAAAAAAAAAAGGAAACACCATTGTGATACAGACCAGCATAATACAATTTAGATGAGGCATGTCACAGCCCATCTGATAGTCTCTCCTCATTGACTTAAAAATACATAGTAAAAATCTCTGAAAGTGTAAGTCCTCCCATCTCAAAATAAATAATAAAAAGGGCTGAGAATGTAGCTCAGTGCAAAGGCCCTGGGTTCAACCCCCCATATGAAAAAAAGAGGGAGGAAAGAAGGAAGGAAGGAAAGAGGGAAACAAAAATCTCACTGGAGACACATTTATTATGAAAAGAACCTCTCAAATTATTTTTGAAATATTGCTTATGGGAACTAGAATTTAAATTTATGTTTAAAAAATCATGAACATCCCAAGAAAAATATGCATTAACCAGTTGTGAACATGTTACAATACTGTACTATTTTTTATAAACTCAAGGTGTATTCAAATATGAAACTATAAAAATTTAATAGAATTATTTTTGCTACCATTTGAATTTACAGAAAAATTGAGTCAATAGCATGAAGAATTCTCATGTACCCAACTCCAAAACATTATTAACATCATATATTAGTAAGCTATTTTTGTTGAAATTAATGAACATTCTTTTTTGTTACTGTTTTTTGTTTTTTTGGTACTGGGAATAGAATTCAGGACCTTGCACTTGCCAGACGGGTGCTGTGCTGCTGAGCTATATCTCTGGCCTCTGAACATTCTTATTATTAATTGAATCCCATAGTTTATTCAGATTTCCTTATTTTAAAATTTAATATATTTTTTGTGTTATTATTGCAGAAGCTTTTCTAAGGTCCTGTTACATTTGGTGGTTATATCTCTCTAAGCTTCTTTTGGCTATGAAAGTTTCTCATACTTTCTTTGGTTCTGATGGCCTTGATACCTTTGAAAAATTCTGGTGAGGCATGTTGAAGGATGCTCTTCTATTGAAATGTTTCATGTTTTCCTCACAGTGACAGTAAAATTATGGGTTTTGGGGAAGAAGACTACAGCAGTAAAGTGCCATTTGTATTACATCACATCAATGATACATACCATCAACATGATATCACTGTAGATGTTAACCTTGACATTCAGCTAATGTGTTGTTTAAGTTTTTCAAATGCCTTTGTTTTTGCCTTTTCTATAGTATACTTTGAAGGGAAGTCATTATGTGCACCCATAAATTTTAATTGGTTATATTTTATTATAAAAGTTTGTATATTTATTTCAATAACTTTAGCCATGGTATCTGTTTTAGTTTCATTAGTTGTGTATGAGAAGTCTGAAATTGTTGAAATGATAAGAGTAGTTGCATAATGTTTACCAGGTGAGTCATATGGAACACAGATGGCAAGGATCCAAATTTAGCAATGGGAAAGTTAAGACCCGAAACAAGTGATGAAGATAAAGACCAGAACTTTGTAAAATACTTTGTTCAGGATTGGTATTATTGAGGTACTCTAAGGAGTCTTACCAATTACCCTACTGGTGAAAATGACACAAATTTTTGATAAAAGAAGTCAAGATATAAATGAAAAAAGCACTCAATTTTAAGATATTAATTCTTCCTAACTTGATACATACGCTCAGCATACCAATCAAAATCCCAGAAAGCTATTTTGTAGATATAGACACATTAGTTGCAAAGTTTATATGGACAGTCAGAAAATGCAGAATGGTCAACACAGTTCCAAAAAAGAACAAAGTTGAAGTACTCATTCAACTTGATTTCAATGCTTACAATACAACTGTGGTACCCAAATAGTATAGTATTGTTGAAAGAATAGATCCAGTAATCAGTGGAGCAGAGTAGACATACCCAAATATGTCAACTAATCTTTGACAAAGACTAAAATACAATTCGGTGGAGAAATAATACTCTTTCACCGGGGATTTAGCTCAGCAGCGTAAGTGCCTGCCTGCAAGCGCAAGGTCATGAGTTCAATCCCCAGTACAAGAAAAAATAAATAGAAATAATACTCTTTCAACAAAGAGTGCTGACATGTACATCCATTTTTATATGTACTTACAAAAATAAGAACCTAGACACAGACCATACACCTTTAATAAAAGTTAATTCAAAATGGAGAATATATATAGGTAAACTGAAAAACTATAAAACTTATAGAACAAAATATGAAAAATATCTAGCTTACCTTTGGTTGGTTAAGTTTTTAACTACAGCATTGAAAGCACAATCCATGAAAAAAGTTAGTAAGTTGGACTTTATTAAAATTTGTTAGGCGTGGTGGTATACATCTAATCTCAGCACTCAGGCAGAAAGATTGTCAGGAGTTCTAGGCCACTCTGGGCTATGTAGTAAGGTCAAGGTCAGGCTGAAATACATAATGAAACTGTCTCAAAAAATAAAAATAAAATGTAGCCAGGTGTAGTGGCACACACCTGTAATCCCAGCGTTCGGGAAACTGATATAAAAGGACTGCCCCGATTTTGAGGCCAATCCAGGCTACGTGGTGAGACCAAGGCCATTCTGAATTACACAGTGAGACTCTGTCTCAAGAAAATAAATAAAAATAAATAAAATTTACAGTCTAAAATACATTGTGAAGAAAATCACAAGACAAGCCACAGACTGGGAGACAAAACATATTACAAGATATATTTATATATTACTCAAAATATACAAAGAATTCTTAAAACTTAACAAACGACCTAACTTAAAAATGGGCAGAAGGCCTGAACAGACAAGACTCAAGAAGATGTCTAATCATAGCTACTCAGGAAGTTGAGGAAGTAAGATAGAAATTCAAGGCTAGCATGGACAATTTAGTAAACCCTGTCTCAAAACTAAAAAAAAAAAAAAAAAGGATAAGGATATAGCTCGAGGATATAGCTAAATAAGACAGCACTTGTCTAGTATGCTTGAAGTTATTTCTTTCTTAACCAATGAAAATCAGGGTTTCTGGCATAATTAAAAATTGGGTCTCATCTAGTTGTTACTGTAGGTCCCTAAAGCCCCTAAAGTTTGAATGATGAAAATGCTACTCTGACTTGAATATAAGATATTAGCAGTAGCCTTAGGACTTCTCCTGTTGTTTTTCAGCTACCAGACTGTAACCTGGGTCAATCAGTAGTGACCAGGTTTGTCGAATGTGTAGTTGGTGTCTCAGCCCCATCATGTGGTCGAGCTTGGAACTGTTTGCTTTCCTGCAGAGCAGGACATGCAGCTTGAAAACAAGAGAAAGAGGAATACAAGGTAGGTCAGAATTTTAAAAATGGAATAGTTGTTTTCCTATATCTAATCAAAACGATTTGAAATTTAAAATACTACAAATAAAAGTTTTAATATTTTCTTTCTTAACACCTTGCCCCCTTGGATAAATCCCCTAGATAGATAGATGTGCCACATTTTAGAGATTGCTGATCCACAGAAATTCTCTTGTAGATCCATACAACAATGTACATTGAGGGAACTTTGTATATTTTATTTTCCTGAGACCAGGTCTCCATATGTAGTCTTTGCCAGCCCTGAATTTGCTAAGTATCCCAGGCTGGTCTCAAACTTACTATCATGCTTCAGTTTCCCAAGTGGTGGGACTATAGGCATATGCCACCATGTTCAGTGAGGCAACTATTTTTAATAGTGAAAAAATAAGCAACATAAATGTACATTACAGGCAAATAGTTTATTTGTAATAGTAATTCAATGAAATATATTTGACCAAAGGAATATATTATCACAGGTAAAATAGTAACTGAATTAGAGTTACTTCATCACTTCCATCACATACTATCGTTTAGAAATATCAGTCCTCTAAGCCAGGTGTGGTGGTGCACACCTGTAGTACCAGCAGCTCAGCAAGCTGAGGCAAGAGGATCAACAGGAGGCCAGCCTGGACAATGCAGTGAAACCCTGTCTCAAAATGAAAAATGGTCGTGGATATAGTTCTGTGCAAAGACCTTGGATTTAATGGATTTAATCTCCACTACCACAAAAAAGCACTTTAAGGCATGTTAAACAATATTACATATTATCTATGGATATACACATATGTAAAAATAGAGCATATACTTGCATGATAATCAAAAGCACAAGAGTCCATGTCATAGTTACTCTGGAAAGGGCAGGGAAGAATTGGGATTGAAGATGAGCTGAAACAAATATGGTAAAATGTTAAGATTTGACAAAACCTAGAGAAATGCTCTCTGTCATATATTTTAGTATGTGTGCTGCTGAAGCAAGCACATGCAATGTATTTTAACTAACTTTCTAGGTGTTCACAGTATTATAGAATGTTAAAGTATTCAAGAAAACATATTAGGAAAAAACTATACTCTCAAAAGATATAGGGGGAGTACTAGAAAGAAATGCCACAATTATTTTACCCAACAGGAAATAGAGTGGTATCGGACCAATTCCATAAATATTACCATGGCTGGGAAATATGAAAAGATAATCTCATTAGAACGACACTGAGCCAAGGAGCTCATAATCTCAAAAAGTGAGGGGGAGTGTTATGGCTTGTATCTAGACGTCCCCCCAAAGCCTCATGCAGGCATAAGTGGAACTTTCTGGAGGTGACTGGATCTAGAGTGTGATGCTGGGATTCATTCATGGTAGTAGGAGTAGCACTCTGGATGTGAGTGCCATGCACCTTGAGCAGGTAGCCTGGAGAGAAAATAAGGGACAGAAAGAAACCTGCTGTTGTCACTTGCTGCTTTTTCACTACTTGGCTGCTTTGCTGCTTTCTGACTGCCACGAACTGTTTTTTTTCTATGATGTCTCTTTGCCATGTATCCAGCCTTGGAGCCAGCCAAGTATGAACTGAAACCTCTACAAACTGTGAACTACACTAAATCTTTCCCCTTTTAACTTTGGGTGTTGGGTATTGTGTCTCAGCAACAAGAAAGTAACTAAGACATGGAGTTACCTTGGAGATACACAGGTGACAGCAACAGAGATATTATCTGATTTCTTTGGTGACAATCTGGGGGTGACAATCAAGGAATACATTCACTCAAGGCAAGGTTTAATGATAGGTGGAGTACAAAGGAGCAAGGTCCTAAGGAAGGGCTGCATTTCCTTTAGGACAAGAAAGTTGAAGGGATGGTTCAGAGAAGAAGATATAGGGGAGTTTGCTAATAACTGATCATGGGTTCCAGCGGGTATCAATAAATGTATAAATAGTGCTACATAAGTGTATAGCATCATTACTACCTCTTTAAATGTCTTGAAATTTAATTCTGCTTTCTGTGTGTGTGTGTGTGTGTGTGTGTGTGTTTTGTGTGTTACTGGGGATTGGATCCAGTGCCTTCACAATGAGCTACATCCCCAGTCCTTTTTTATTTTATTTATTTACTTCACTTTTCTTTTGAGACAGGGTCTTACTAAGTTGCTGAATGGCTCAGGATCTAGAGCTTGTGATCCTCTGTCCCAGCCTCTAACAGCTCTGAGATTATAGGCATGTGCCACCATACTTTATTTGGTTTTCTTCATACTATTTAATTTTTTATATCAACAATATTGTTTCCTAAATGCACTCACTAACTTTTCTCTATATAGTTTCTCTGACATTCCCTATACATTTTTTTCAAAATCTGTGTGGGGGTAGGAGAGAACAACATCTCCCTTAATCTAAATACAAACATGTAAGTCTTAATTGCATTATTCCTATCATCATTATTTTGAGGCAAGGTCTTGCTATGTTGCCTGTTATGTGTGAGTGGTATCGGACCAATTTCATAAATTTCGGCGTAGTCTTGAACTCCTGGTCTCAAGTGATCCTCCCTTCCTTGGCCTCTGAATGTTAGGATTACAGGCATATACCACCACTCCCAGATAATCTCTTAGTATTTTTGTCTACCTTCAACATAAATTTAATGACGAGAATTTTAGATCTAGAGGAGAATTTATGCAGATATCTCAATTTACAACTGACAAAAGCTTAGATGTTTTGATTTAATCAGCTGGTTAGTAGAACAATCAAGGCTTGAACATGTACCTCCTCTTCCCCACTTTATTTCAGTTTCAAGAGGAGAAACAGAAAGCACCCATGAAAACCACACTCTATGCCAGAGGTTGCATGCAGGCTACCCAAATTCAAATCTTAGACCCATTACTTGATCTTGCCAAGTAATCTAGCTGCTCTGTACTTTGGTTTCCTCGTTTATAAAATGAAAGACATGATAACCTTCTAGGGTTATTTCAAGGATTAAATGAATTATTTAACATGCATAAAAGTGCTTGGCACATAAACAGTGGCAGAAATCTAAGCAATTATTACTATATGTAGCATATACTCTACTAGCTGCTAATACAAGGATTAATGGAAGCCAGGGATTTTACTCACAGATGTTATTTGGTCTGGAGTTGAAGAAACAAAACAAAATCCCACTTGAGTGAACATTTACAAATGTGGATAGTACATATTAGAGATGCAAATGTTCAGTTTCTCTTGAAAATCAGGTCTGACACCTTTAGGCTAGAATTCTCAGGTAATAACAACTAGCTGGTAGTAACAATGCAGCTGCCCCTTTTAGTCCATACTACTCATATAAGATTTCTATCTTTTAGCCTCATCTACCTGTCTACTGCTGGCTGTTGAATTTCCATCCCAGACTATAACAGTCAATAGTCTTTAGGAACTCAATCCAATGAGTGGCAAACATTTGCTAGACAAATCACAATACAGTGTAGTAGAAACAAGTGCCAAGTCGCCAAGTACAAATAGGAGGAGGCTGATGGTGTATCCTAAATGGTGGACATGTTGGTAACGATGTTGTCAAGAAAAGGAAATGGAGATAAATGGGTTTGCAGGATGAACAGAATGTGCAGACATTGAAATGGGAAACTATGGGCTTAGCAACTATAAAGAGGTGAATTTTGGAAAATATAGTTAGAAGGAAAGAAGTAGGTTGACACTACATAATAAAGTTTCTTACTTGGATTTTACTCAGTAGTGAGTAGACAGGAGGTGTTTTCTGGCATTTGGTCAAAAACAACAGCAAAAACAAAAGTAGATTAAACATGCCATAATAAAATGCCCTCCCTCCCGCTTTTTTTAAGGTTCCCTTTATGCAGTTCGGTCTAGCCTTGAACTCACTGTGTAGCCCAGGCTGGCCTCGAACTCGTGGCAATCCTCCTGCCTCTGCCTCTTTAGTACTGGAATAACAGACGTAAGCTCCTCTGTACTTTTGATTGTTCCATAACAATTTAAAAATTTGTGTGTGTGTGTGTGTGCAGCATAGTACAAATTATTTTTCTACAGTTACTATTCCATAGAATATTTTACTAGAGGTAGTAAAGGTATGAAGTTAGAAGAGATGATTCTCCAGTTCTCACTGGCTCAAAGAGCAGGCAAAACTCTCAGTCTTCTGACATCTTACACAGGTATCTTGAATAGCTAGAGGTCAGACAGACTCGTGGCGGGAAAAGGATACACACATACCAAATTCGCACAATCTGTTTCTGTTTAGTTTATAAACTGTGATCTATTGTGTCAGCTTTTGTGCCTTGTGGGACTTGAAGTCCAGAGGGAAGCAGCGATTGCGACTGTTGAACTATGGAAGCCCTCAGTCCCTGCAGGTCTGAGCGCCATGAACTACAACTCCCGGTATACACCACGATCTGCGCCGTCATTTGGGAGAGGCACTCGGGGCCCAACAGGGCAAACCCCGCCCCTAGCCTCGACCAATAGCAGAGCCTTCAGCGTAGAGCCTGCGGGTTAGGTTGTGAGGCCCAGGCCGGGGGCGGGGAGGTGCCGAGGGGGTTCTGAGCTAGCTTGGCCGCCGGGTGGGTCTGGGCGATCGGCGCGTCCTTCACTGAAGCGGCGGTGGCCGAGCTGGGCGCCGGGAGTGGGAAGCGACGGCGTGGCTGGAAAATGCCGGTCCATTCCCGCGGGGATAAAAAGGAGACGAACCATCACGATGAGATGGAGGTGGACTACGCCGAAAACGAAGGCAGCAGCTCCGAGGACGAGGACACTGAGAGCTCGTCGGTGTCGGAGGATGGCGATAGCTCAGGTGTGCGCACCGGCGGGGCCGGTCTCGGGAGTCCCCGCGCGGGGCGCGCGACAGGCCGCTCTCCCCACGCCGGGCAGCTGCGTCCTGTGGGGCGCGGGGCGGAGAATCGCGGAGGGGGCGGAGACTGGCTGCGGCGCTCGGCGGCCCTCGGATAGCGTCCCTGGCGGGTCGGGTGCTTGTGCTGGGCTCCTCGGCCGGGCTTGTAGGCTCCGGGAGTGGTGGCTCCGCGCTCGGGATGAGACCCACTGTTGGGACCGCCTGGCAGTGCTCTGGGGCTCCCGACCCTGGCGGGGAACGACCGGCCGCTGGGGCTGGAAGACCGCAGCCCACCGACCTTCTTATTTTCACCTTTGCGATTTGTTCCTTGCATGGGTGGATTGTCGAGGGGGCGGTAAATTTATATTTGGCCGTGGCCGGGGTGGAACCAGTGAACCTTCGCTTCCAAACCAGCCTGTCTTCAGCGCTTTATCACCTCTGTGCTCTTTCGGTGCTATCTTGGGAGTTGTTCGGTGTGTGATATCTTCTCCCAGAAGTTCTTTAGACGCAGAGGAAGAACCAACTCATTTAACATAATCCTTCTAAACTTTGGGCTGTTTTCAGATTTTTGGAGGTGGGGAGGGTGGGTAGGGCAGATCAGTATCACAGACTTTTAAAAAAGGAATGGAACTTGTATATACCAGGATTCTTTTCCTTCTATACTTATGACGATGGAACTGACTTCTTTGTTTTGATCCAATTTGGGTTAATGACAGTTTGCTATTATCCGATGCCTTCTTTTCAGGTTTCCTATTCAGAACAATCTCCATGGAACGATGTAATTTCAATCAATAAATCAACCATCCAAAAATAAATACTTCTGAGTGATTTCTCTGTGAAGCCTGGGCACTGCTCAGGATGAGCTATAAACAAATAATTATAATCTGGTCTCAATTAAAGAGGGGTCATAACCGAACATTTGATTTAATTGTAAAATGAATGCTGAACTATAAGAAATACTGTGAGAATTCAGACGCAAAGGAAATATTTCCAGATTTGGGTGGTCAACAAGGAAGACTGAATGACTGTAGTTAACTTGAAGGCTAAGAAAGAATTTGAATTCAAGTGGTAATGGTTGTGCTCTCCTAGAGGACCAGGAATGTAAGGAAAAGTGCAAAGGGCAGAGTTTATTCAAAAGAGTGAGAAAACCAGTTTGGTTGGGAGGACTTGAGCCAGGAATGGAGAAAGAAAAATATGGGCGTGAAGGGTTTTAAAGAAAGCTCTAGACTAAATGATAAATGCAAGTTCAGGAGCAAAGGTAAGAGAACCCGGACACAGGAGAATGGTGGTACCATGGCAGACATAGAAAAAGTAAAACGTCTGAGATGGAGATAGATATTTTAGTTATGTTACTTTTGAGTGATGGTATAATTAAGAATGCCCAAACCGGAAACTTTCTAATGGGAGAGTAATTCAGAGATCTATCGTCTACCTAGGAATAGGTAAGATTTCAAAAGGAGAATGTAGACAAAGAAGAACACTTAGACTTATGCAAATCCATTTCCTAGATCTGTAAAGCATTTTTATTTCCAAGTGTTGCACAGAGTCTTGAGGATGCTTGACAAGCACTCTACCACTTGGCTACATCCATAGGCCATTCTTGACTTTGTTTTTTGAGTCAAGCTTTCACTATGTAGCCCTGGCTGGCCTCCAATTCAATGTGGTCCTCCTGCCTCAGCCTCCTGAGTGCTAGAATAAGTGTGCCAACAGTGGCCGCCTCATTATTGATTTTTTTGATGGGACCTTGGATCTTACAAAATATCAGTTTGTTAAAATTCGTCCCCTCAGATTTTGTATTAATTGTGATTTTAATTATTTCCCATCATTCTAGAAAATGAGTGACAAATTTAGTGAAAATTATAATAATTTAAACTAGTCAGATTTTTTTTTAAATGCAAAGAAATTATTTTAAGTTCGGTGTAGTGGCACATGCCTATAAATGCCAGCTTTTGGGAGGCTGCAACAAGAGGATCGCCATGAGTTTGAGGCCAGCCTGGGCTACATAGTGAGAACCTGGTCTCAGAACACACAAACATACAGACCAAATCATAAAGAAGAAATTACTTAAATATATTTCACAGTTTTGTAAAATCATCTCTATTTTACCATATATTTTGCAAGTTGAACTTGCAGTTTTATTCTCAAGCCTTGGAATAGGACAGATCATAAGGTTATGGAGAAATAACCGTACAGAACATGGGAAGTGAGTCGTCTTGAGGGATCAAGTTTTAAATAGTTACATACTAGACTATTAAGAACCTGAAACATTTTAAATGTTGTAGAGAATTAAAAGACAGATACACATAGTAAACATCTTTCCCTTTGTTTGACTTTTCTTTGATGAAGATCAAGATGCAGATCAATCTGCTTTAGTTATTTTGATGTGTTGCATAAACGTGATGTTAAAATAGAAATGAAATGTTGGACAGACCTGGTAATTTAAGAGTTGCTTTCCTTAAAAGTTTGTTTTTCTCTTTTACCTTTTTTTCCTCTTTACAGGGAAGAGGGAAAAATGATGGCATAAGTGGCAGTCTAAGATACCCTGTGGTAAACATTGAGATGAGTTTCTTGTTTAGATGACTAGCACATCAATGATAGAAGTTCTGAAAGTAGAGTTCTAAGTGTTTTTGAGCAATGTAATTGCTTTTAAAGGACACAATCATTTTTGGTGCTAAGTTCTGATGAATGGATGGAAAACAGACCAAGAGTGGGTTAATTACTTCATACTCATAGCTTATAATCAGTCCCTTGGCGTGATTTATGAATGAGTAAATCTGAGCAGGCCTAGAAAGCATACTGTAGTTTTCATTCTCATCTATGTTTTAGATTAATTCTTCAGTGGAAATTTGTTTGGATAACTGTCTCCCTTTCCCTTTCTGGGGAGTAAACCCAGAACCTTTATACTGAGGTATATTCCCAGTCCTTTTAAAAAATTTGTTTTTTATTTTGAGACATGGTCTCCCTAAGTTGCCCCAGTGGGACTGTTAACTTGTCCTTTTGCCTCAGCATTTCAAGCGTCAGGATTACATATGTGAGCTACTTTCTCTTAAAACTTTGTGTAGACCTTGCACATCCATCTTCATATTACAGTTTTGTTTCCTATTTGAGTTAAGCTCAGATGTAGTTGAAACATAAAATTAATTTTGTCCTTGATATTTGCCTTTTTTTTTTTTTAAATAGAAATGGATGATGAAGACTGTGAAAGAAGAAGGATGGAGTGTTTAGATGAAATGTCTAATCTTGAAAAACAGTTTACGGATCTCAAAGATCAGTAAGTAGTAATTTCAGAAGGTGGTTATAACCCAGCTCAATTGCGTCACATGCCTACTAGCACAAGAGCAATGATGTTGTAGGAACTGTTTTCCTTTTTGTATTTCACAGAACTAACTGATCTGAAAGAGGCTCCAACTATAGCTTGCCTGCCCTTTGGTAGGTTTACCTACCTCATTAACTAAGCAGAGAGTTTTGAGGCAGCTGTTGTGGGCTGTGAACCAGAGTGTAAGAGTTCTTTAACATGGTTTTTTGTTTTTGTTTTTGGTACTGGGGATTGAACTCATGACTTTGCACTTGCCAAGCAGGTGCTTATGCTGCTGAGCTAAATCCCCAGTCCCTAAGTGTAAGAGTTCTATTAGATGTTGGGTGATTAAAATGTCTTCCATGTTGCTGTATTTTTAAAAAATTCTGTGTCTGCTAAAGAGGTTATGTTTATATCTTACATCAGGTAGTCTGTGCATTACATGTTTTTCATTTTTTGTTTGCTTCTTGCAACAATTCTGTAAGGTTGGAAGACACTCTTATCTCCATTTTACCTGTGAGAAAACTGATGCGGAAGGTAGATTCCCAAATCAGAAGTTGTTAAACACACCTAGATCTTTTGCCTCCTAGTGCTGTTGTTATTGTGTTCCTTCCACTAACGCATATTACTTTGGAGGAAAAGTGTAGAACAAACTAAAGCTCTGAATCCAGGCTTTCATGGCTGGTTTAAGGTGATAATTGCATTCTTTCTATTATCTGTAAGGATTGAGGAACAATATGTAAAACTCTTGGGCCTTTGCTGTGGTATATGGTGGGTGCTTATTAGATCCTGGTTCCCCCACTCCTATGCCAGAACCCTTAAGTGACATTGGTAACACAAGAGTGGGGCTCTGTGATTTGAGAGAATCAATGTATATAGAAAAGATGGAATTACAAGTTTAAAAAAAGGAGAGCTTTCATTTTGGGACTTGCTGGCGAGGACATAGGCATGACTACAAACTAGGAATTGTAAATGGAAGAGGGAAACTTCTGATGATGTGGACACCTTAATTATTCAGAAGCTGGCTGTTCAGTTTATGAATTCTACAGAATTTTCTTGCTGTTTCCTTTTTTTATATTTCCCTAAAGAGACCAAAAGTAGGCAGTAAAAACCCATTTAATATATCTGAAATTATACTAAAATAGATTAAATACTAAAATAGATGAAAGCTGGGCATGACAGCACATGCCTGTAATCCTAGCACTTGGGAGGCTGAAACAGGAGGATTGCTGTAAGTTTGAGGCTAGTCTGGGTTACAAAGTGAATTCAAGGCCAATTTGAACTGCATAGTGAAACCGTGTCGCAAAAAAGAACACCAAAAACAACAACAACAACAACAAAAAGGAACAATATAGGACAGTTTTATTTGCCATATTAACTATTTATATCATTTTCCTTTTAACTTTTTAAAGTGGTATTAGAGGTAAATATATAAATATTGTTCCATGCTAGTTCAACAAATTAATGTAAATAATCCAAAATAATACTAAGTGTAAAATTTTGACCTTGAAAACCATGGTATAATTTTCTTATTCTAAAGATTTATGTTACTAATTTTAAGTTAAAATTAGTTTAGATCCCCAAAGAATCTATTATTTGGGCAATATAGAGGGTTCATCTGAGATCATTCTGGAAAACAGTATCAAATTTGTGTTTTTGTATTTTAGTTCAAGCAACCTATAAATGGATGATTCTCATGCAATTAAGTTGTACCTATTGAATTTTTAAAGTGTATTTTAGATTAGCCAAGAAATGAAGATTACTGTAAGTTCTAGTATATACATAGAAAAACTTTGTAACTACTTAGTGATTAGGATGGAATTAGGTTCATCTTGGGCCAGGCAGTGCCTTGATTTTTGCTCTCCCATGGCTTACAGTGGTCTCCAGGTAGTTCACCCACCAGCTTTATTGTTTAAAAGTGTTAAAAGTGAATGATGACCAGCATCTTGGAAGGTCCTTTCTTAAGAAATTGGTTTCCAGAAACATGTTTTAGAAAAAACTCATTTTTTTACACCAGGTTTACAATCATATTTTTTCTTCTTGCTCTAGTTGCCTTGTTTTCTGTTTTTATCCTGTCATACTCTGTGTCTCTGTAAACTGTCTCAGGTCTTCTTTAGAAGTTCAGAAAACATACTAATAGCAATAATATAGTTATTCTGCTTCTCCTATTCTGGTACCACAGGGCACAATAGCTCTCCCTTCATAATGCAGAACACTCAGCATCCACAGTTTGTGTAGTGGTGGAAAGCGAGTTCTTCACCTTCCTTAACAAATACAAGTATCTGTCCCATCCAGGTTTCCACTTACTTTAGTATTCAACATCCAACAAACATTAATTGAGCATCTAAATAATATTGTGGTTGCTGCTGAAGGAATCATGGTTCTTGGCTTTGTTGAATTTGTACTTGAATCCCAAGGCTGTGGAATTTTTTTTTTTTTGGTACTGGGGATTGAACTCACGACTTCCTGCTTGACAGGCAGGTGCTTGTGCCACTGAGCTAAATCCCCGGCCCAGGTTGTGGAAATTTTGAGGAATCTATTCTTTTAAAGGTTAGTTCATAGAATAGTATCAGTTTATAGATCCTCTTCATTCAATGTGCTGGTCTACAGTTGTTCTTTGTGTAACGATTTTAGTGTTTTGTCTAAAGTTGTTATAATTATCATGTTATACTTTCCTGATTTCATACATTGGTTTATCATTGTGGTTTAAATTTTAGAAAAATTTAACCCAGATATGGTAGTGCATTGTTTTGGCAGTTAATTCTATAAATAGTATTGTGGTTGCTGCTAAAGAACCTCAACAAAAACAAAACAAGAGTATTTATTGTGTTAGCACTCAAACTTCCCTCTTAGGAATCATTGTTTACATGTCTTACGCTAATCACAATGGTAAATCAATTATAGATAATTAATCTTGATTTTCTTAGTTGTATTGGTTTATATTTTTAAGAGAGAGAAAACAGAATTTAATATGAAGACTAAGTTCTATAACCTTTCAAAAGCCAGCTGCTGGTTATACTAACACCAGCACGCTCTGTGTTTCTCCTTGGTAGTTTATTTTGGAGGTGACTACAGGCTATGCTTCTCACATTGTATGACATGTGCTTGCATATGATAAAAGTAATACATAAAAAAAATCAGTACAGAATGATGATCTTCAAATATTAAAGTGCTTTGAATTTTTCAAGGACATCCTTAAAATGCCACAAAATCAGAATTAGAAGAAGAATCTTTCATAGCGAATGACTATATAGCATTTTCTTACTAAAAAGAATTAGCTTTATCCTGTAGGATTATTGCCAAAATAACACTGAGTTGTCTCACATACTCATCAAACCAACTTACTATATTGTGAGAGCTGGCAAATTGAAGTGTTTGCAAATGGACTGAGAAATGGGGGCCACGGGGACCTCCTTGCCTAATTTTTGCTTTTTTTATCCATTGAATAACTCACTTTGTGAAAGCTCCTTCATTCATGGTCGAGGTGAACAGGTTCTAAAGCCATTGGTTTATATTTGTCACTTTATTTCCCTCTTTGTTCTTTTTAAAAATTAAATAGACTGGATATTGTACTGACTGTGTTTCAGGAAAGGTAGAGCGAAGCATGGGAATTATTTATTTTGACAACTGGTAATGTTTCATCTATTCAAAATGACCCCCTTGTTTCTTTCAAAGTCTGTATAAATTAACTTTTCTCTTAGACTTAATTTACCCTCCTCAGTTAAAACAAACACAATAGGTAATTGAGAGTTACAGCTGGATGTGGTGGTACATTTGTATAGTCTCAGCACTTTGGGAGTGAGATCTTGTCTCAAAGTAAAAAAGTGTGAATGGTTTTTTTTTTTTTGTTTTCTGTATTTAGAGATAGAGTCCTTGAATTCTCCGTGTAGCCCAAGCTGGTATCCAACTCATGATCCTGTTGCCTCAGCTTCCTGAGCACTTCTGTTTTTAAATTTTAAATTTAAAAAATTTTTTTTGAGATTGGTATCATTATGTAGTTCAGGTTGGCCTTGAGCTCACTATGTAGCCCCAGGCTGGCCATGAACTTGCTGTGATCCTCCTGCCTTAATCTCTTAAGTGTTGGAGTTTCAGTCTGTACCAACATCCCCAGTTTGCTTTTGGGGTTTTTTTTTGAGATGAGGTCTCATTAAGTTGCTTATGCTGGCCTCTGTCTTTTTTTTTTTTTTTTCTTTTTTTCTTTTTTCTGGTACTGGGGATTGAACTCACAACCACCTGCTTGCAAGGCAGGTACTTAGGCTGCTGAGCTAAATCCCCAGCCCCTGGCCTCTGTCTTTTGAGCTGAAGCAACCTCCTGACTGAGCCTCCCAAGTACCTGCAACTATATACACATACCCTGTGCCTGGTTTTAAATTTTATTATTTGTATTTTGAATTAACCACTAAAAACTGATACTGATTTAAAAAGTCATAGATATATACATACAAAATCAAATAATACAATTGAGATCTCTACTTGAGATCAAGGCAGAAAAAAACATTTGATAGGTTATTAAAATATGGATAGTATTATATAGAAATGGCAAATTATTAGCTCTTATTGAGATTTTTAAATTAACATCTTAATTTTTGCTTTGTTAAGACTTTATAAAGAACGATTAAGTCAGGTGGATGCAAAACTACAAGAAGTCATAGCTGGAAAAGCTCCAGAATATTTGGAACCACTGGCAACCTTACAAGAAAACATGCAAATTCGTACCAAGGTAGCAGGTAGGAAAGTGAAACTTTTTTCATGTAGTAGACTCTACACTCCTTAGCTTTAAAAGATGTTTTTCAAGTTGTTGATGGGATTAAAAATATATTTTCAGTGTTGATGAGATTACAGATATATTTATATATTTACATTGCATTATAAAAATTTTTATATTCATTGTTAAATCATTTATTAAAACCCTATTTTTCTTTGCTGCTGTGGGAAAATTTAAAAGCAACAGTGAAAAACTAACGTTGCCACAACATAGTTGAAAAGATACTTTCACATTTGGTAAAGCAGGGGCCAGGGATTTAGTTAAGTGAGGTCCTGAGTTTGATTCCTGGAACCCCCCACCCAATACATTTGGTAAAGCAATTAGAAACCACGATACTTTCATTAAAAGTTACTGTTGCCATCACAGATTAATTCTCTGTGAAATAAGTTATTAGGTTGTCTTGATTGTTTTCATGGGTAAGAGTCATTAGGATTTTTATATATTTATTTTTTAATGATGAGTTTCAATGTGTTGCCCAGGCTGGCCCTGAATTCCTGGGCTCAAGAGATTCTCCTGTTTTATCTTCCTAAGTAGTAGGATTAGCTTTTTAATCTATGAAAATTAATTTTTAAAATGCTTGATTATTGTTTTTTAGGTTTGTTTGCTTCTTGATTTTTCTGTTTTCTTTTTTCTCTTTAAAGTAAAATTTAAAAAAATAAAATACTTGATTAGGATGTTATAGAACAAGGAATTAACCTTTAAACAGATAACTTAATAATCCTTTTTATTTTGATAAGTTTGGTTACTTATGGCTCTGATTAGGTGAGATGTACTGTATTTGTGTGCTTAAACTTCAGTGTTGTGTTTATAGTTGGGACCCAGCCTCAGTGCCGTGTGCTGGCACTTGTAATCACAGGATGTATCCATTAAAAGATCACTTATGACGCTGGGCATCGTGGCACACACTGGTCATCCTAACCACTTGGGAGGCTGAGGCAGAAGGATTGCTTGAGACTAAGGCCAGCCTAAAGAGTAGCATAGTAAGACACTGTCTCAGGAAAAAAAAAAATCACTTTTGGTTTATGGTTTTTTTATAGTGGAACTAAAATGTGAACTTTGATAAATGGAGTTGCTGTTTTTTTTTTTTTCCTTTGTTGCGACACAAATGGGTCCTTATGTACCTGTTAAATAATACCTAAGTCATTGTTGATAATAAGTTCTTTTTGTGCTAAAACCAGCCTAAAAGTAAATTTTATTCTTGAGTGCTTAATATTAGGTATATAGACAATATGATAATTAACCTACTATCTTTGAATATTGACTTAGCTTATCCTTAAAAGTAAAAGCATCCCTCATTTTCTTTGATATTCTTTTAGACAAAATGAAGGATCATGAAATATGGTGGTTGTGTGAATTACTCACTTTTCTACTCTTGACCACCATTGCTTTTCGATTCCAAAGAGTGTGTTACTAATGATATACTTGCAGCTGTCTGTCCTCTGCCTTTACTATACAGAGAGAGAAAATTCCATTTCTGGGGTCAGTTACAGTGTAAAGTTTAGCATACACATTTAGAACTCTTTCCTTACCATTTTGTGGGGAGCCATGTTGCTTGTCTTATAGTAGGTGTCTTAAGACAAACTTAATTTGGCTCCTTTTCTCTCTACAAAGGCCTCTCAGGATAACTTGGAACATCATAGATTTTGTTATATCATTTTATATATACATATGTCATTTTGTACATTTCATCTTTGGACTTGGAAAAAATAAGTAATAGTTTTAAAATAGTATTTTTAGCTGCATGTGGTGGCACATACCTGTAATCCTACCACCGGGAGGCAGCGACACAGGATTGCAAGGTATAGCCAAGCCTGGGCAATTTAATTTAGTGAGACCCTACCTCAAAAAGGTTGTAACTTAGGGGGTGGGGATATGGCTCAGTGGCACAGTCCCCGCCTGCCAAGCACAAGATCCTGAGTTTAATTACTCCCATTAAAAAACAAAAAAAGAAAAAAAGTTGTAACTGAGTAGTGGAACAGCCCTGGGTTCAACCCCCAGTGTCTGGAGATGGGGAAAAAAGTGGTTTTGAGGGAATATAGTACCCATTTGTTACTTTGAGTTTATATGATTGGTGAAAACCAGATTTTGTCTTTCTATTATGAGAAGCCTGAGGGATTAGTTTTCATAGGAGAAGAATTTTATGTTTCACTTTGATCATTCTCTATTGTATTCTTTTTATTCCTATTGTATTCTTTAGGAGAGTAAAGCAAGAACAAAAATTAGCGGTATAGTTTCTTTTTGGCTCTTAAATTCTTAGTTTCTGGTTTTCTTTGATAGATATTTTAAATAAGCTCTTTTGTTTTTACTTTTTAAAGATAAAGTTATAATGACTTGCCCTTTTGTATGGATTCATCCTGTAAAATATGAAGAGAACAGAATTCCTGTAGGGAAATGATAATGAAATGCTTTACTGCTAATATAATCAGAGTAATTGTGTTTGGTTGCAGGAATCTATAGAGAGCTCTGCTTAGAATCTGTAAAGAACAAATATGAATGTGAAATTCAAGCCTCTCGTCAGCATTGTGAGGTACTGTCATTTTGCTTAACATTTAAGCTAAAGACATTTCTTCAATCCTTTTATCAGTGTAGTAATTTAAAGAGTAAATTAGTAAAGAAACTTAAATAGTATTTTAGCTCATCCTTGTGTGCAAATTTTAAAAAGTATAGTTGTACAGGGAGCTGTGTAGGAAATACAATACAAGGGAAAAATCAAAGACAACTGAGATAATTTTAGAAGTTTTGCAACTTTTGATTTTGTGATGATTATATCATCTGGCTGCTAAAAATACTAGCATAATTAGTGTACTATGGAAATTTAGACTAAAAATTCCACCTGTTTGTGCAGTTACAATATTGGCATATAGAATTAATTTCTGACCATCCAATCCACTTCCACATTTTTATAGCTGCTGCTGTAAAATAAGTTTTCTATTTAGGTAAAGCATCTTCTATTTATGTGCAAAATAAGTGTGTTTTTCTATATATTCTCTTTCTTTCAAATAGTGTTTAAAAGCAGTGCTAATTTTGCAGGTAACTTTTCATAACATCTACTCAAGATCAGCAATGTACTGAGGACATAAAAGGATAAGTTCGCAGTGACTCTTTCTCTTTAGTGCACCCTGTGCTAAGAGCAGATAAGCGTCAAAGTGGTGGAGTTTGTTAGTTCATTTTCTTGATTACAATTGGGCTGAATATTTTTGTGGTGTTCAGTAGCTCCTTGGATTTTATTCTCTAAGAAGTGTTTGTTCATGTCTGTGGCTTTTGTATTGGGCTATCTTCTCCTTGTAGAAGTTCTTTATACATTCTGGATGTAAAAGCTTTGTATGCTATGTATGTATTTTACTCAGATGTTGGGATCTTTTCACAGTAACTAGAAAGCAATAAGGTTTTACAGTTTAATGTAGTTGGATTTATCATCTTTTGTTTGTGGGTTTTTTTTTTTTTTTTTAAATCTTACCCATATGAGGTAAAAAATACGCATTTTTCTTTTTCTTCTCCTCTTGTCCTTCCCTCCATCCCTCCCTTTCTTGTGGTACTGGGTATTAAACCCATCATACTGAGCTACATCCCTAGCCCATTTTATTTTTTGTTTTGAGACAGAAACTCAGTAAGTTGCTGAGTTGCATATGCTGAGTTTGAACTCATGATTCTTCTTGCTTCAGCCTTCCATAGGGATTACAGGTGTGTACCACCACACCCAGCGTGTAATTTTCTTTTAAAATTTGGAAGTTTGTTTTTAACATTTGAGTCACTAAACTACCCTTAATTTTTTGCGAAGTATATAGTTCTAGTTTTATTGTCTTTTACATATGGATGGATAGGTAATGTGAATACCTTATTCTATATCCCATGTTTTTTTAACAACTCAGCAGTTCTCTCTTTGAATATCAGATATTCACATATGTGCTAGCTTGTTTCTAGTTTTTTTCTCCTTTTCTTCAGTAGTATTTTGGCTACTTTTTGCAAAAGCATCACAATATTTTTCTATACCTTTCAGTTTCATAATTTTAAAAACTTCTTACAATTGTTACTGTGAATTTTGTAACAATCTTTTAAAATTGCTTTTTATATTTTGAAAAGAAAAGTTAATTCTGTATATTAATATTTTATCTATAATGATTTAGATTCTTTTAGATTTTCCATATAAATGATAATGTTTCTTTGTGAATAATGGTAATTTGTTTTTTCTGGTCTTCCTCGCTCTTATTTGTTTTATTTGCTTTTATGATATTGGTAGGGTCTTCATCATTGTCATGTTGTTTTTAAATTTTTGTTTTCTTTTGAGACAGGATCTCACTATGTAGTTCAGGCTCTCCTTGAACTCACTGTGTAGCCCAAGCTGGCCTCGAATTCACAGCAATCCTCCTGCCTCAGCCTCCCCGAGTCTGGGATTATAGGCATGTACCACCATGTTGGGCTGTTGTCATATTCTTACTCTTCTAACAGTTTTCCAATAAGTATGATTGGGGGGGTGAATTATAAATATTTTTTATCAAGTTAAGAAAATTTTCTCATAGTGTCTAAGAATTTTTATCATGAATAGCTGTTTTATTTTACTAAATGGTTTGTCTGCATCTATTGAATTAGTCAGGGTTTTTTTTTTTTTGCTCTTGATGTGAGTTGTGGCACTAATACATTTGCTAATGTTAAATAGTCCTTAGATTTCCTGGAATGATTCTTTCTCTTCTGCATTGTCAACGTCACATTATGAGTACATTATTTTGAGGTTTCATTTCTGTGTTTATAAATGAGATTTAACTTTCAATTCTTAGAGGCCTTTAATTTCATTTCAAAGTTCTTAAAATAAAGTATGAATCTTCCGTAGTTTTCTTTTCCGTAGAGGTATATGTTTAAGATTGAGGCAGTTAGTTCTGTGGTTAGTGTATTTTGTTTGAGGGGGAGAGAAGGGAGGAGAAGGGGAAGTAAAAAGAATTAAGATATGTTATGTATATAAACTGAGTCCCTGCAACAAATGAAATCATTATGTATGCCAAATATGTACTAATAAAAATAAAACGAGAAAGCTTTTAATAGTCTTACAATGAGAAAGGTTTCAAGAAAGTACAAAGAACTGTATTTTATGAGCTGTCTGAGAATGAGTGCAAATTATCCAGCACCAGTACCGTGGATCCTATAATGCGTATTTTAAACAAGAAGTATCATTCTCTTATGAACCACGATATAGTTATCAAAACCAGAAAGTGTACACTGCCAGGTTGCTACCGTATCAAACCTGAATCCTTAGACCCCATTCAAATTTTAGCAGTTGTTCCAATAGGACTGTTTGAAGCAAGGTGGTCCAGAAGTTTTTATCATTGTGTTTAGTTATTATTGTATCTTTTTTTTTCTTTCTTTTTTATTTTTTTTTGTCTTTTTTTTTAATTTTTATTAGTACCAGGGATCGAACTCATGACTGCCTGTTTGCAAGGCAGGTGCTTGTGCCGCTGAGCTAAATCTCCAGTGTGTGTCTTTTTTAGTCTTTTACAGTATGGTGTAATTTTTCAGCCTTTCTTTACTACTGATCTTTTTTTTTTCCAGTACAAGGAATTTAATTCAGAGCCTTGTGTGTGGTAGGTGAGTGCTCTGCTGCTGAGCTACATCTCTTGCCCTGATTTTTGAATTTTTGAAAATGTCAGACCTGTTACTTTGTAGGGTATTCCTCAGTTTTGAATGCTAATTCTCCATAGAATCAGATTTTGCATCTTTGACAGCACGTTACAGTGGAGGTGCTGTTCTCGTCTCATTGAATTCTCTCAGACAGTGCACACTTCTAATAGGTTCCAGTTTTGGTAACCTAATTGGTATGTTTCAGGTTTCTCCAAGTAAACTTCATTTTTCCCATTGCAATAAATAAATATTTTGAGAATTATTTTGAAACTATGCAAACATTTATTCTCACAAAACTTTCAGTTTACTTATCTACTTATATTAGTATGAATTCATTGTTCCATTACTTGTAGAGAAGCTACATTGACTCCGTCTTATCCCGGCCACATCTGGTTAACAGTGTCTTGGCAGAAAGTGCAAACTTTGAAACATCACCTCAAGATAAGAACATGAGGTCCTGTGAGGACACATAATCAAGTTATGTACTCCAAGCATGCATAATATAAGTGTCTTTGTTTTTTATCTCAACAAAAAGTTTCCTGCTTATGCTGGTCAGGCAGCAGCCATTTTCCTGACCCTTAGTGTGTGTGTCCCTCTATTTTCTCTTTGCTTGCATAATAATAACCCCCACACTTACTCATTTTTTTGGTCTACTTCTTTTAGTTACTGAGAGTAATAGGTAAAATTTCTGTGATGGTGTGTTTGTTAATCCTTATATTTCTTTCTTGCTTTCTTTTTCAGTTAGTTTTCTTTATTTCCTAAAAGAAAAAAAAAAAACCCATGCCATTTTTTTTTTCAAATAGTGAAATCAGACTGGAGACACAGCTGGTTCTAAGGCAGAAGCAGAATGGCAAAGTGGTGTGACAGATGGAAAAGTGCTCAACCCATAGCAGGAAGCAGAGAGAAGGGGAGAACTGGTTTGGTAGATACATCCTTCCAGGTTATACCCCATGACCCATCTATAAGGAAGCCCTAACAGCACATCCAGCTATGTACTCAGCAACAAGTATAGTGCCCATATAATCCATTTACCCCACTTTTGAACACACGAGGCTTTTGGAGGACATTTTAGTTCTTAAATCATAACATTCTAACCTTGGCCCTGAAAGATTCATGTCCATCTCATTTTACAAAATGCATTTTGTTCATCTGAAAGAATCACCAAAGTCTTAACAGTTTCAGCATTGCTGAAAACTCTCAAGTTCAAATTATTTAAGACTCAAGGTGAATTACCTGTAAGCTTCTGTTAAAAATTAAAAAGAGGCCAGGCCTGGTGGCACACACCTGTAATCCTGGCACTCAGGAGGCTGAAACAGGAGGATGGCTGTGAGTACAAAGTCAGCCTGGGCTACATAGTGAGTTTAAGGCCAGCTTGAACTATATATATAGCAAGACCTTGTTTCCCCCCCCCCCAAAAAAAAGTTAAATACTTCCAGCATACAATGGCACAGGTTAAACCTTCCCTTGCAAAGGGCAGGAATAGGAGGACAAATGAATCCCAAAATAAGATGGAAATCCAACTGGTCAAATGTGACATGGTATAGTTCCATGTCCAGCACCCAAGGCAAGTTGTGGTAAGATGTGAACTTCAGCTTGGTTAGCCCATGGCATTGCTGGTTGTAGCCCAAATGGCCTGTCTTTTGAGATGGCCCTGCACATTGCATGTGGCTTTTCCCAGGAGACAATCTATGTTCCTACATCTCTAATTTCCTATGATTTCACTACCCTTTTGTCTTTACTCTCACAGCTTCATATACTGCCCTTTTGGAGTGTACTGCCTAATCTCCAAGGCCTTGTGAAATATGTGTGGGAACTTCTATGATCCTTAATCCTATAATTTTTGCATTCTGTATCCTGAAAACAAGCATTATGTAGATGATGTCAAGATCTGCTGTGATATCAAACAGTAGCTGGGTCCCC